ATACTATGAGTATTATTGGTAGTACATTCCAAATCGTATAAATAAACGCTCGTCAATATTTATCGCGGTTATTCTTTTATTAATCACCCCGATACCTGATAATTTATTAATGTATGTAGTCCATTATTATTTTGTCAGATTAAACTATGCATATTATCGACGTGTTATAAATAACTTTTAACATACTTAATAATAGAAAATATTACATGTTAGTATTATTTATTATACATTTTTATACTCGTTATAATATATATTATAATCGCTATTTAATTATTGTTGAATTATAGACATAAATTCTAAAAATCGTAATAACGCAAAAAGAGAGTAGGAATAAATATAAAAAATGACTCCTGTCAATAGTTATATTGAAATTTATAGGGTGTTTAAGTGCAAGACCTGTATTATACATTTGAGAACATTAATCAAAATCAATACAATAACATAATATTTATATCATATTTCATTMTGAGGTCATCTAAATGTTTTATTTTTATTTTTTATTACAGGAAGAAATGCAGTTATGATCCCACAAATCATCATGCAAGCACTTACGGTTCTGTGTGCCTTGTTTATTGCAAGTGCATCCGCTACACCATGTCCACATCCGTGCAAATGTTTCACCTCTGAAAATGGAATACAAGTAGCTAATTGTACCGACTTACCGGATCAAATGACAACCGCATGGCCACAAAAAATTCTCCGAATTCATTTCGAAACTGATCGAGCGTCAACGATAATGTTGAAAAACAAGGCGTTCAAACACTTCCCGCGTCTTACGTATCTAGATATTACTGGAGGTACGATACATTACGTGGGAAATTTGGCGTTTGATGGGTTACCGGAACTATTGGAACTTAATCTTGTAGGAACGGGAATTAGAAAACTACACCGAAACACCTTCACGAACAACCGAAAACTGGCATTCTTGTCATTGAGTAAAAACCCTAGACTGTTTGTGGGTCCTTCATTCCTCGTGTCCGAATCTATAACCGAACTTGACTTATCAGAATGTGGGTTGACCACACTGAAAAGTGTGTATTTTAAAAATTTGCCTAATTTAAAATACTTGTTTGCTACGAAAAACGAACTCAAATCACTTGGATCACAATTTGGACCTTCCGGTGTCAAGTTTGTAAACCTCGCACACAACCAAATCGAATAYATCTACGAAGACTTGGAAGCATATAAACGTTTGAGAACAATTGATCTTACCGGAAATCCAGTTAACTGCACGTGTGAACTTTCGGAAATTGATAAAAAATTATCGTCCAAGGGCGTAGCTTTCGGAAATTCGATTACATGTAATAATACAGGAAAACCATTGGGTGATATGTTTGAAGTATGTTCAGACAAAGAAATGCTGGGAGACGATCCTATGGACATGTACCAAGCAGATCATTTATTAAAAATTGATAAAAGTATGATACAATCAATAGAAGAAATTGATGATTCTGGTTCGGGGTCAGGTAGCGGAGATAGTGAAATTACGACGATAGACGTTAAATCTACTGCACAYACTGAAATCAATGATGCAAAACATAACACACAAATTGACGAAGTCAAAAACAATACACAAGTCGAAGAAGTARTAATTACCAAAACTCACGTGAATGATACATTTATAGTTCCTAAAATCGAAACGACTTCAAYAGAACCCTCTACTACCACGGTGGACGTATCGACCAAAGAYAAAACAGATGACACTACTATACTCCCGACCGAGGAAGTAATGGTTCACGTTCAACCTTCGGTCAATCCATCAGACGGAAATTCATCCACTATGCGATCCAGCATGGACCGTGGAATTGTCTCACAGACGATACAAGCGCAAGCGCCAGAAGACGAAGACAATGTCCAGACCCAGGTAGCCGAGTTCTTAAAGTCTAATGTATATATAGCTGGAACAGCGGCCATATTGTTAATAGTCATCGTGGCTATTGTTTACAAAGCCGTGTGTTTGGGAAAATCACGGAGTCACAGTATCGTGTCCAGTAATGATAAGTCCGTCGAGCTCAAAGATATCAAATACGAAGCGGCCAACACGGAGGACGCACGTGACGATTCACCGGCTAGTTCGGTGGAAGAGAACTTGCTGGGAGACCACGATAGCGACGACGAAGACGACAGTATCGGCCCCAACGAAGATGATGTATTGTC